CCCTGCGCGAGGCGGGAACGGGTTGGGCCTGCCACGCCGGTGTACAGAGCGTACAGAGCGGTGGTGCCAGACACGGGCAAAGCTCGGGGCCCTCTGAGAGCCAGCGGGTCCGCCACGTCCGCGACTGTCATTCGGCCAAGGAAAAGGAGCAGGAGGAGGAGGAGGAAGAGGAGGAGGAGGAGGAGGAGGAGGAGGGGGAGGGGGAGCAGGAGGTGGAAGATGATGATGATGATGATGATGATGCTGATGATGATGATGCTGATGATGATGATGATGATGATGATGCTGATGATGATGATGATGATGATGATGATGATGATGATGATGATGATGATGATGATGATGTGATGATGATGATGATGTGATGATGATGATGATGATGATGATGATGATGATGATGATGATGATGATGATGATGATTGATGATGATGATGATGATGATGATGATGATGATGATGATGATGATGATGATGATGATGATGATGATGATGATGATGATGATGATGATGATGATGATGATGATGATGATGATGATGATGATGATGATGATGATGATGATGATGATGATGATGATGATGAGGAGGAGGAGGAGGAGGAGGATAAAGGAGGAGCAGGAGCAGCAGCAGGAACAGGAGCAGGAGCAGGAGCAGGAACACAGCACGATCAGGAGCAGAAGCAGGAGCAGAAACAGGAGGAGGAGGACGACGAGGAAGACGAGGACGAGGACGAGGAGGAGGAGGAGGAGGAGGACGAACAGGAGGAGGAGGAGGAGTAGGAGGAGCAGTAGGACCAGTGTAAACCCAAGGGTTATCAACGATGTTTGAATAAACCTTTTTTCCAAGCTCCCTCGTCGTAAGCCCCTACAGCGGTTCATTTCGACTGAAGGAATTTCTTCGTTGGAAGACAACCGTTTGAAGATCTTGAAGCATGTCAGAAAATTACTCTCGGGTCTTCAGCGCCGCAGATCAACCTGACTGTTGCGTCTTGACGATCCGTAATCGAGCCAAAACGCCGTTCCTGGGACGTGAGCACCGCGAATCAACGTAACTGTTGCGCGTCATAGCCCCGAACCTTTCCAACACGCCACTTCTGGTACGCTGATCATGGGAATATGTGACGCTCTTGCACATATTTACAACGAGTGTATGCGGCATTATAAGGCGAGAGCCACACTTTGAACACCGCCCGCCCTCATTCCGTGAAGCTCTTCTAAATGGTTGGAACGAATGTGCGCGGCGCTAAGGCGAGAGGCACAGTTTGAAAAGGAACCGCCGTCAATCCGTCAAACTATAATGCAATGTTTTGCAAAGAATGTGCGCGGCGCTAAGGCCAGAACTTGCCCTCAATCCGTGAAGCTCTTGCAGTCTGTTGCAACGAATTCGCTCGGCGATAAAGCGAGAGCCACATTTGGAGAAGGAATCGCCCTCAATCTGTGAAGCCCTTGCACAGCTTTTGCAACGAGTGTGCGCGGCGCGAAGGCGAACCCCACATGTTCAAAAGGAGCCGCCCTCAGTGCGAAGCTTTTGCATTTTCATTTTTTGAAACGAAAGCGCGCGGCGCTAAAGCGAGAGCCACATTTTGAGAACCACCCGCCTTCAATCCGTCAAACTCTTGCAGTTTTTGCAAAACGTATTTGCGCGGCGCTAAGGCGAGAGCCACACTTTGAAAACCACCCGCCCTCAATCCGTGAATCGGTTGCCCCTTGTTGAGCTTCAGGGTCGTGAGTGGTGGGGACGTCTTAGGCGAAACGCCCCGCCCGCTCTGAAAACATGTCTCGGGGTGCGACAGGGGGAAATTATATGTGTAAGGACAAGGGATGAAGGAGGATGATCAGGAGCAGGAGCAGGAGAAGGAAGAGAAGGAGGGGCGCGAGCAGGAGGATGGGGAGCAGGAAGAGGATGAGGAGGAGGAGGAAGAAGAGGAAGCGGAAGGCGACGACGACGCAGAAGATGACAACCAATAGTAAGACGAATCATAATACGAGTTTTAATAATCTGAGGAAGACGAATATTAATGAGACGAATAGAAAGGTTAATACGAATACTTCACTAACGTCGATATGGTTTTGAACAGGCATGCGGTAATCATTAGAATAACAAGACGACGACGAAACATGACAATCTTGGTAATAACCAGAATATGCTGATGCTGATGATGAGGAGGAGGAGGGAGAAGAGGTGCGGTGCTTGATCTGGGGAAGCCGTGCTCCCTTTTCTCGCCTACGTTTCCCTTCTGGCCGCCAGTTGTCGAGTGGTTGCTGTCAGGTGCTTGTTTCTTGCGGGTGCCAGCGGTATCGTGGATGGGCCGCAGGAGCTTGGAGGGCTCCCTCTCTCCACGCCCATGCTGCTATGCCAGCTCCACGGTGGCCATACTTTCTCTTGCAACTGCGGCCCGCCGGGGAGCTCTCCCCCAACTCGGGCGTCGGCGTGGGTGGGTGGGACCTCGAGGAGGTGGCCCTGGAAAAGCGAGTGTGTGAGAGACATGGAGAGGAAGAGGCCGTTGAAGAACAAGAGAGAGAGAAAGTGAAAGGGAGCGAGAGACATTTCCATACACACGCATGTTTATTTTTATGCATTTTGGTGAGAGCGTCAGATCAGTTTCTTTTCGTCGCTCATGTGGCCGTTTTTTCCTACCGCTGTGAATGTCACGTACATTCGCCCGCATGCCTCCTCCTTCTCTTCGCCGAGTGCAGTTCCAAGAGCCCCGCTCGGAACTCTGAGAGTTTATGTGAGTGTTTTGTTTCTATGCCTGATATGTCTTTGACAGCCGAAGCAAGTGGTTCGATGCCCTGGCTAGTCTATCAGTGCTTCGCCGCAACGGATTGCAGAGTTCGGCGCAGCTTTTGACGTCTGTATGGATGCCTGTCGCCGTGCGGCTAGATGCGTCCCAAAGAGCATGTGACCGACGTTGGACAACGGGCCCGATTGCGCCGACATTCGCGCGCAAGCTGCCCGCGTAAGGTTGCGCGTCAGCGCCCTCTTCTCCGGCGGTGCGCTAAGCTGGCCCGCGTTAGCCGCGGCGCCAGCTCGCTACGTCATCTCGCGTGAGAGCCTTCTCTTTTCGTCGCTCTGGTGGTCCTTGTGATCGTTTCTTTATTCACTGTTTTGCCGATCGGCGCAGGGCCCTCGCCCCCCCCTCACCCCCCCCATGGAGTAGACCTTGGCGGCTGTTTTTTTGGCGCCTGTTTGGAGCGGGTGGAGTCTCTCCACTAGAGGCAGGACTCTTAAGCAGAGGTCTAGAGCCAGAACCCCCCCCTTCCGACCAATGTCGAAACGCCGAATAAAAAAAAACGCTCACCTTTCTTCGCGCACCCCGCGGCGCTGGCACTCGGATGCTCGGTGGCACGGGCGTCCGCGGGAGGTCCCCAGAGGTCGGTGCTGGCCTCCGGGGCAGGGCCCATCTCGATCCGATCGGTCGGGTTCGACATCGATCACTGACGGTTCGATCCGATTCGGTTTCGATTGCGATGGACTTACGGCCGTCGGGTGTTCCCTTCGACTTAACTGCGACATTCTTCAGTTTCCTTGCTCAGTTTCCTTGGGACTGACGACAACGACGACGACGACGACGACGACGACGACGACGACGACGACGACGACGACGACGACGGCATCATCTCGGTCGGATTAGGCTTCGGTTACGGCCAGTTCGACCCGATTCAGTGTCTCTTTTCCAGGGATCCGATGCGGCCCAAGGTTAGCATTGCGCTGCGGTGCATCCTGGCGCGGCCGATCTGATCCGATGCCGACTCCGTGCCGATCCGACGCACATTCCGGTTCGATCCTTTTCAGACGTGTTCTTTTGTTGCATCTTTTCCTTTCCACCTGGCCATTTTGGGCCTCGGGGAGCCGTTTTTTCGTTTTCATGGGCCGGGACGAAGCACCTGTCCTCGTGCAGAGAAGGCGTAGAGAGGTCAGGGGACCCCGCCTGGAAAGAATCACGGCACCAGATGTCTGGGGACCTGGGCCACGAGGCGTTTCCTGGTGCCCCCCCCTCGCCCCCCAGAAGACTACATTGCGGGGAGCAGGCAATGGGGGTCAGCGCTCACAGGGGTCAGCCAATCTTTTCCGATATCCTCTGGCTGGCCTGGGCTTGGGGGCCATGACGGGCAGATCGGGCGGGTGGACCGTAAGGGGCCGGTCGGGAAGGCAAGCCCAGGCGGCCAGATCGAGCAGGCGGGTTGCTGAAGCGTGCTTCCTGCATGAATCGCGAGAAAGTCTCGAACGATAGCGCGATTCCCAACTGAATCCTCAGGAAATCCATAGCGAGAGCATGATTTCTGAGTGTCGAGGGCGCGGCGTTTGAGTAAATTGCGAGGAAGTCCCACGCGAGAGTTCGATCCCTGCACTCATTGAGAGGACATCCCGCGCGACAGCGCGGTTCTTCAATACATTGTGAGGAAGTACCAAGCGGGAGCCGCTCTTGCTATAAACAGGGGGCCAAAGACACAATTCTGAGACCCAATCTGTTCCCTAAAAAACAAGGGTGCGAGCTCAGGGAAGGGCACCTCAATTGAAAAACACCATGTGCCCCCTTCTCCGGGACCAGTGTTACAGTGTTTCATCCCAGGTCGTCCTATAACGATCGTGGGGCCCCATAAGGGCATCCAGGAGGCCGAAAGTGGCCAAACCTCCCGTCATGACTCCTGCTCGACGTCAGGAGGTCTGGGCTTCTCCTTGCCCCTCTCCGAGGCGGGGGTTATCCATGACATCCGCCTGGGGGATTGATCTCCCGGGATCTCGGCAGGCGGAGGAGGAAGGAGGAGGAGGAGGAGGAGGGGGGAAGAGGAGGACGAGGGGGAGGAGGAGGAGGAGGAGGAGGAGGAGGAGGAGGAGGAGGGGAGGAGGAGGAGGAGGAGGAGGAGGAGGAGAAGAAGAGACATGAGCATGCTCGGGCCGTGCGGGGGCCGAACGTGCCCGTGCCCGCCGCCTGCCGACGTCACCAACGATCGCCCCCGCTCCCCCCACCGGGCGGTGGCCCTGGCGCCCCCTCTCCGCGAGGTACGCCGTCGACAGGAAAACGAAGAGGGAGGGGCTCAGGCGGCGAGCCGCTCCACTCCTTGCGCGCGGGGGGGCGTGTCCGGATTATCCACGGCCTCGCGCCCCGGATCCCTCGGCTGCGGCCCTGCTCCCCCGCTCCCTGTCCTCCTCACCTCCTCTCCCCTCCTCTCTCCTCCCTTCCTCTCCGCCTCTCCCTCCTCGAACCATTACCCTTTCTCTTTCTTCCCCTCTGCCTCGGACAGGACGGAGGAGGAGGAAAAGGAGGAGGAGGAGGAGGAGGAGGAGGAGGAGGAGGAGGAGGAGGAGGGGGAGGGGGAGGAGGAGGGGAAGGGAGCAGCAGCAGGAGAAGGAGCAGCAGCAGAAGCAGCAGCAGCAGGAGGAGGATGAGGAGGAGGATGGTATAACGGACCACTTCGAGCGGCCCGAGTTCGCTCATGCTGTGCTTTGCGGCCCTTGAGGGCTTTGCTCGTGAGTTGGAGTAAGCCTACAGCCCTGCAGAGATCGCATCTCAGATCTACTGCTACTGTCGGGCGGCGGTCCCAGAACAGGCAGCGGCCCCTCGCCCGCTGTGCCCCAGTTCGGAGCTCACGATCGGCATCGTTAAGCACGTCCTCATTCTCGTTTGAGAGCGTTGTCTCTGTTGTTTTAGTGCTCGGCCTCGCTGTTTTGAGCCCTGGTTTCAGAAGGCACCCTTTCCCACAGAGGCGGTGCTTGCCCCAGGCTTGACGTTTTCGAGGACATGCCCGCCCTTCCTGCCCCGCAGTGCCGCCGTGTTGCGGCCGCTTCTCCGTCCTCTGCTGCCTTTTTCGAGTGTTGCCCGAGTGCCCATGTCTGAGCTCTTGGGGCACTCAGCACTCCGACCTCCACCCTCCAGCATCCGACTTTCCACCTCCACTCCCACCTGCCGACCACCCAGCACTCCGACTCCAGCATCCGGCTTCCGACTCTCCACTTCCACCTGCACCACTTGACCTCCGGCGTCCACCAGTTCATAACTCAGCACCCCGGCCTCGGCAAACAAGGACTACAAGCACTGAGGGCCCTCGGCCCCCCCGCGCAGGCCCTCAAGGGCCCCGCTCCCGGCGGAACCGCGCGCTCGCCTCGCCTCGCCTCGCCATGTCTGAGCTCTTGGGGTCGCCTCCAGTTCCACCCATGATCTGGGGGGCAGGATGCCTCATGAAGTTCGCAGGCGATATTTGTCCTGACGGCCCTGGGTTCGGGGCAGAGCATCCAGCTGTGGCCTCAGCAGGTTGGGTTTGTGGCATCCTTGCATCCTGACGCATTGCGTGCTGTTGCAAGGGTGCATCGGCCTGCTCTGGACCCCTGTATGTGTGTCAATGCGGCCAAGCTTCTTGTTGTCATTCACGTCCTGTTCGCCTTGTCCCCATCACGTATGTTTGCTGACTTGCAGTTTTGATATGATGGGCATGATGAGCGTGGGCGGATCGACATCGCCACATGTGTTGCGGCTACTGCTCACATGTGGCGCTTGCTTTTGGAATCTAGTCGATGGGTGGGGCGATATCCAGCTCTTTTCGATTGAGGGCCATGCTGCCCAAGCCGATGCAACATGGGCAGATCCACACCACGGCATCATAATGGTCACGATGCGGCCGACCGGCTGGCCAAAGGTGCTGCTGAGTCTGGTGGGTACTTCCCTCAGCAAGCGTTCTCCGCTCAGGGTCTTATTCACAACATGCATAGTGTTTGGGGCATTGAAGTGGCCGTTTGGCGGTTAGGGTGCTTGACTGCGGGCGGGCATCTCTTTCAGTCAAAACAGGGAAGCCATACCTGTCCCAAAACTGGCGTGTATTATCTGCAACCTGGTGCAGCCTTCCGCTGTCTTGGTGGGTCTGTGGCGCCTTACTGCGGGGCCTTATTGTCTGTGAACGGATGTCTTGGTGGGTCTGTGGCGCCTTACTGCGCTCGCCCCCCGACCCCAGGCCCTCCGTGCAGCTCAGAGAAACTCTTGCGTGCTATGACGGGTTGAGGGAGTGTTTTGCACAGCCTCTTGGCTCTCTGGTTGCGTTTCGGCTGCTTGCGGGCCGAATGTTCCAGAGACATGACCGGATATCAGTGCACCTCTGAAACCTGGGGGGCGCGGGACGCGCCGTGGCCTCCACCCCCGCGAACACAAAGAAGAGAACGCTATGGGAACGCGGGGCGTCGGCTCAGGGGTGACCCTGGGCCAGTTCCAAAAATTCGGAGGACGACGACGAGGGCACGAGCGCAGAGGGGGGAACGAACGACACGGCGACAGGCGAGGAAAGGAACGCCGGTCAGCGGGGTGGCATTCGCGCCCGCGCGCCAGCATCCGTGCCCCTGCTCGGCTGGATGGGAAAAATGAGGGGGAGGGAGAGGAGGGAAGACGGAAGAGGGTGAGGAAGAGCAACCGCGCAGCGAACAAACGCGGACCAGGAGAAGTTGGGGGCAGGGGCAGCGGGGGGTGGCTGGGGCAGTCGGCGGCGTCAGGTGGTCGGCGGTCGCTGAGCGTTAAGCGGGGGCGGGGCCGACGGCGGGGGCGGGGCGGGAGAAGGGGGGGCTGCCCCAGGGCTCTGGGCAGGCAGCTCAAAGGCCCGTCCGCCGTGGATGCCACCAAGCGCGTGGCCGTTGCTCTCGCTCGCGGCTGAAGGCGTCGCAGCACTGCCCGCGCATTCCTTTTGTGAAGGGCGATGAAAAGTCGCCGGGCAAGCCGGTCTCGGCCGCGAGCGCGGCGTCGTCTCAGGTTGTGTCGGCCGCGCGTTTGGGCAGCACCGCGAAGGCGATCGCGCCTCGCGGCCCCATCCGCCGCCGTGGGCCTCCCGTGCCATCGTCAGGCTAGCCTCCGAGCACCTGCGCGCCGTGTCTAGGTGAAGGCGGTTCTGCCCCACGTATCTGGTCGCCGCTGCGTCGCCGCCGCCTTTGGCGGCCGAAGTCGCGAGCAGATCCGCGCGGAGGCCAGAGGTAACGGCGAAGTCCAACGCCGCTGGCGTGCTGCTGCGCCACAACGGAGCGACCAGGTCGCTGCCGGTTGCCTCCTGCTTTGGCTTGGGCGTTTACTGAACAGCCCTGTCCTGTTCTATTATTTTTCAAGGTGCGTTTGTTACTGGGTTTCGCTTGTCGGGGTGCTTATTATGAAGGTGGTTTCAGGACCCTCTTTTAAGCACTCCGGCGGCAAGCCCCCAGTGCCCCATCTTGTGCTTGTTCGAGACCCCGTCCCCCTGTCGTGTGTTCAGCTGCCTACAAAAGGTCGGGCACCAGGGACAGACAGCAAGCAGTCTCTGCTCACCGCAAGGGCCGGCGGTTGCTGGATGCGCCGATTATGCGTGCATCAGTTGCCTCCTCGTGGGTCCACGCTCTTGCTGCCATTGTTCGCCACATGTTTCAGATTGGGTGCCCAGGGTTTCGAAAAGACGGGCGAATAGGGAGTTCAAGCTCGGAGCCAAATTGTGTCGATCATTTTCTTCTGTCCTGTTTTTACTACGTGTGCGTTGCCCCAAAGTGGCTTCGGCTTGTTTGAATGACCCAGTCATTCCGCATATTGTGCGCGGGAGGAGAAGAGGTAGCAGGACGAGGGAACAGGAATTGGAGGAGGAGGAGGATAAGGAGGCGGAGAAGGAGCAGGAGGGCGAGGAAGAGGGACAGGCGTAGGAGGACGAGGACGAGGAGGAGGAGGAGGCCTCCCCCCCAGGCTGCTGCGGATGCCCGCGAAGCGCGCGCAGTCGCCCCAGGTGGCCCGCGCCGCGGCCAGCGGGGGGCGGGGCGGGCACCCGGGCTGGCGGCGAGGAGCGAGGTGGCGGAGGAGGGCAGCCTCCCCGTGCCTCCCTTCCACCCTCCCTCTCCTCCTCTCGTCCTCCCCTTTCCTCCTCACTCTCCTTCTCCTCTTCCTCCTTCCTCCTCCTCCTCCTCCTCCTCCTCTCCCTCTTCCTCCTCCCCCTCCCTTTCCTCCTCCGCCATCCTCTTCCTGCCTCCCCCTGCTCCCTCCCCCCCTCCCCCTTTCCCCTCTTCCCCTTGCCGTTGCTACGGGCCCCTCCCCGAAGCGCCTTTATTTGTTTGTGCCTTCTCCTCTTCCTTTGCCCCCCCGTCCTCATCGTCCTGCTTCTCGTCATCCCTGCCCTCCCCGCGGGCAGGGGGGACGGAGGAGGAGGAGGAGGAAGAGGACGAGGATAAGGACGAGGAGGAGGAGCAGGGGGAGGAGGAGGAGAAGGAGGAGGAGGTGGCGGAGGAGGCGGATGACGATGATGCTGATGATGTTGATGATGTTGATGATGAGGGTGATGATGATGACGATGATGATGATGGTGACGATGCTGAGGATGATGGTGATGTTGATCATGATGATTATGACGATTATGATACTGACGCAGATGGTGGTGATTATGCTGGTGATGATGATGCTAATTATGATGAAGATGCTGATGCTGCTGATGAGGAGGGGGAAGAGGAGGAGAAGGATTACGAAGAGGACGAGGACTAATGATAATACTAACAAGGCGAACCATGATAAGTGGATTGCTACGAAGAAACATATTAGTAACACCATGGATAATACTCGCCATGCGAAGACGGTTCATACTAATACTCGCATTGGGGTATTGCCAATACTAGTAATACGGGTACTACTACTACTACTACTACCACTACTACTACTACTACTACTACTACGACTACTACTACTACCACTACTACTACTACTACTACGACGACTACTATTACTACTACTACTACTATTACTACTACTACTACTACTACTACTACTACGACTACTACTACTACTACTACCACCACTACTACCACTACTACTACTACTACTACTACTACTACTACTACTACTACTACTGCTAGTACTACGACTGTTCATAATGCGAATAAGGAGAATACTTTGCAAGCGACGACGACTACTACTTTTACGACGACGACGTTTACTACAACGATTACTACTACTACTATTGCTACTACTACTACTACTACTACTGCTACTGCTACTGCTACAACTACTACTACTTCTACTTCTACTACTACTACTAGTACTAGTACTACTACTACTACTACTACTACTACTACGACTACTACTACTGTGACTAATACTAACACCATACAAAAGAGAATACTCATACTATTAGTATGGCTACGAATAATAACGCTACTAGTTTATATATATATATATATATATAAAAAAACACATCTTCGGACTGATAGTACCATCGAGAAAAGCGAAGATGACGCATCTGAACACGATCACTAATCGAAGTACCAGTAAATTTACCAATGATATTATTCGTGAATGCAGGTGACAGAAGTAACTACTCATACTGATAGGGCTACTGAGGCGTATCTGAATATTTATACGAATGCGAATAGCAATATTGTTATGACACATCATAACAGCAAAACAAATAAGCCTATGAACCCAACTAAGAACATGTACTTACTATTAGTATGAATACGAAGAAGATACACTTTAACACCTACAATATTAGAAGAATAATGATAATGATCCCAACACTAATTATATAATTGATGATAATATTGGTACCAAGAATAATCATAATACTAATAAGCATACAAATCATACAACTGAGAAGAAGAGTCTACAACGAAGAACAGGAGGAGGAGGAGGCGGAGGCGGAGGCGGAGGCGGAGGCGGAGGAGGCGCAGGAGGAGGCGGAGGAGGAAGAGGAGGGGGAGGGGGAGGAGGAGGAACCCAGCACCATGCGGCACACCCAGCTGTGTTACCTCCGTGGTTCCTTGAGGTGGCCGCGCGTGCGAGGGGATGGGGAAGGCGTTTGGGGGATCATCTGCGCGCGCATGCGCGCGCGCGCGTGTGTGTGTGTGTGTGTGTGTTTTTGTGTGTGTGTGTGTGCGTGTGTGCTCGCATCACGCTCCCAAGCCACCTCTACTTCCTCCTTCCTTGTCCTCGCCCGTCCTGGCCCCCTCCCATTTACACATGATTACGGGCTCTGGCTCTGGGCCCACGGCCCCCCCCCAGATGGGATGGGTCCCAGGGCTCCACGGCGCTCCCCCCAGATGGAATGGGGGGGAAGGCGACGACGACGATGACGACGGCGACGGCGACGACGACGACGGCGACGACGACGACGACTACGGCGGTGACGACGGCGATGACGACGACGTCGGCGACGACGACGACGACGACGTACGGCGACGGCGACGACGGCGACGATGGCGACGACGGCGACGACGGCGACGACGACGACGGCGACGACGGTGACGGTGACGACGACGACGTACGACGACGGCGGCGACGACGGCGACGACGACGACGGCGATGACGACGACGGCGACGACGGCGACGACGACGACAACGGGGGCGGCGGCGACGACGACGACCTCCGGAGCTCTCTTGGAGCACCACAGCACCACACCACACCCACAGGGGGGGGGGGGACCACCGCGCGGGGGGGGGCACCGCGCGGGGGGGGGGGGGCGATGGCATCAGCATGAGGGGGGGGGCCAGACCCTGGACCATGTATGACTCTCGCGCGCATGCGCTGCCTCAACCCCCGCCCTTGGCCTGTGGGAGCGTCTTGGATGGTCCCCCGTCGCCATCAGCGCTTTGCGCCTCGTGCCTCCCCGCTCCGTCGGGCTTCGCTGCCTACCGGCCTTCCCTGTGTTCTCTTGGGCCCCGCCTCGTCACGCCGCGTTCCCCGCCGTGCCCTGCAGCGCCCCCGTTTTTGCGGCCCCGACTCGCCGCCGCTTCGTCTTGCGACGACGCGCTCCGCCGGGAAGCGAACTCTGGCCGCTGGCATCCCCACAACATGAACTGCCGACTGAACCCCACTAGCGCGTCAGAGGAAACGCGTGTGTGTGTGCGTGTGTGTGTGTGTGTGTGTGTGTGTGTGCGTGTGTGTGTGTGTGTGCGTGTGTGTGCGCGTGTGTGTGTGTGTGTGTGTGTTTGTGTGTTTGTGTTTGTGTTTGTGTGTGTTTGCGTTTGCGTGTGCGTGTGCGTGTGCGTGTGCGTTTGCGTATGTGTGTGTGTGTGCGTCGGCGCCTCTCAGTGGGCCCGACTTCCTCTTCCCCTGTCGCGCCGGGTCTCTTCCTCCTCCATGCATTGCGGCCTTAATTTGCATACAGCGTGTCCCCTGTTGCCAACCCGCTGGAGCAGTCGCCCTCTGCCCAGCCGCCGACGCAAAGTGTGCGTGTGTGTGTGTGTGTGAGTGTGTGTGTGCGTGCTCCTAGAGCATGATTGGGAATGATCTCTGATCGCTACCCCGTTCTTTTTACCCGTGCAGGGATGTGGTATTTTAACCTCCCGTTCTGACAGTGGCACACGTACAGGTTCGTGTTTGGCCGCCGCGTGGGTCATCAAGGCTAGCGTAATCGGGGGCAGTCACCCGTATACGTTTGCATGAGCAGTCCGCGGTATTTTCTTCAGCACGCCTGTCTCTTCGTTCACGGCAGGGGCTCACGCCGTAGACGACGTTGTTTCTCACGCTGCGCAGAAAGTTAAATCCGCTGTTCTGGTCAGAGAAAGCGTGCCCGTGCTTCCCGATCCCCCTGGTCGAGACTGTCCGCCTAATACACGTGTGTTCAGAGGCCTCGGACAGAAATATTGGCTCCGAGATCAGGGGGAGACCATTGGAACCGTTCCCGTCCTGAGGCCGTTTGATGTTTTCCTCCTTTTTCGTTCGTGTGTGTGTGTGTGTGTGCCCGCTTGGGCCCCTGACGTTTACTTCCATGCTCTTGACGACTGGTCCTGAAGCGGGCCAGTCCTTTGCTTTCTTTCCCGCTGCCCCAACCCAGAAACATCTTCGACAAAGACGGGCCTGGTAAATCTGACTGGCTGACTCGCTGACTGGCTGGCTGGTTGGCTGGCAGACTGGCTCCTCACTGACTGGCTGGGTGGCTGACCGACCGACCGATTGACTGATTGACCGGGGTGGACACTCTCTTTCGACGTTGCAATGTTTTGGTCGCGTCTGCCCGTGGGGATGTCGGCCCCTTGGGGCCAGGTTTTCACCTTGAAACGTTTGTCCTCCCAACCATCCTGTGGTATTGGGTCTTCGTTTTGAAGAGACGGTCCCCGCGTTCCTCCTCTCTTTTCTCCTCTCCTCACCTCCTCCCTCCTCCCCCTCCTCCCTCCTCCCTGCGTTTGACCCACCCAGTACAGCGTTTAGTGGCCCCATAGGGAGCTCCACCGAAGCCCCCAGTGGGACACCGTTTCGTGGCCCCCTCCTCTCTCCTCCCTGCGTTTCACCCACCCAGCACAGCGTTTCGTGGCTCCACCGAACCCCCAAGTGGGACCGCCCGCGCGCGTCCCATACACCCAATTGAGCATTTCCACCCACCCGGTACAGCGCTTCGTGGTCCCATAGGGAGCTCCACCGAACCCCAAGTGGGACCACCC